TTTGTCTGGGTCCGCCCCTTTTTACATATGAAGAGCCTGGGTTTTAGGGAATGAGGTGAGCCCACCTGAAGTCCTCCTTTTGGGAAGTGGGAGGTCAGATTGGCACTGCACCACACATGGGGCAATGCAGTGGTGTGGGTCTGGGAGTTGGAGAGTGCAGCTGCCACTGAGGGCTGGTTCAAGCTGTCCACATGCCAGGATGAGGATCCGACCTTGCTGAGGCATGGGGAACCAAGCCTGGAGCAGGGAGGGTCAGGGCACCCTCCCAACTGAGTCTTTATTCTAGACACCATGTGGAGTAAGTGGGAGGGAAGGGCAAGGGGTAGGGGTGGCATGCAGATACCAAGGTGGGCGATGCTGGAGTGGGGATCAGGACAGTGAATGGGCAGGAGAAGGGGCAGAATGGTGAGAAGAGGCAGCCTTTCCCTGGGCTGACAGGGTGGCTACAGGAGCCAAGGAGTTCAGACCTTGAGGAAAAAGGTAGGAAGGAGGTCAGGCCAGGGTGGTTCCACCAGCAGAATGCATGGGAGTTCCCTGGGAAGAGCCTGGAGTTGTACCATTTGGGACTCAAAGATCCCGGAGTCTCTGCTCCAGAATGAAGCTCCACCCTTGTGTGTGAAGCAAAGCAACCCCCATCTCCCATCTAAGCTCTCCCTCCTTCCCCTGCTCCTTCCATCCCGGCTCAGCAGATCACTAGGTGTTCCCAGTATGCACCATCCCTGCTTGTCTGTCTGCCTGTGTTCATGCTTCACCCGCCACCTGAAATGGTTTTCCCCACACCCTGCCAGTCGAATCCTGCCCAGGTGCCAAGGCATCAGTTTCTGTAACTCCGAGTAACACCCTTTGTCTTAGTTTTCTGTCCTTGCTAACCTGACACCTGAGGTTAAAAGAGAATAGGTTTATTTAGCTCACAGTTTGTGGAGGTTTCGTTTGCACTCAGCTGGCTCCAAGGCTGGGTAGCACGGTACAGGGCAGTGGAAGACAGCAAAAGCAGCAAGAGCAAAAAAGGGGGAGCAAGCCTTTTTCTTCCCGTATACTGTAAGCAGGCTATCCTCGCTAGGGTGTAGCACCCACACCATCTCCGTGCGTGCCTTCCTCTTGCTCAGGCTCAGCATATTTACAAATTAAGGACCCTGGCCGCCTGCTGAGTGGAGCTGGAAATGCTGTAACTCTGTCTAGGTCCTAAATTTAGTGAGGGCATGAAAACTAGAGGTCCAGGTTTAATAAGCTGTCTTCAGAAAGCTCACCCTATGACAACATGAGGCTCTGGGGGGACATCTAGGTAAAAACTATAAAGCCCTCCCCACCCAGAAGCACCCAGTTCAGCCACTTTTTGGCTCTGAGCACATTCCACCAAGTGCCTTAGGTACTTCTGTGTCTTTGTTGCCCCAAATCCCAGCTCCAGCACATTGCAGTGATGGGGCACTGGTGACTTTCAGAGCCAGGCCATTTGTCCTACCTTAATCTTCAAGGGAAATGACATTTCTGACTATAGCTTCAGCCAGGATCAGCCCCTGTCCCTGCACAGGTACCAAACCTTTGCTGCAGTGGTCTAGAATTTTTTTCTGTCAGATTGGTCATTTAGATGCTGGCAGTAGGAGGTAGACTTCGGTCCAAGGCACAACCTGCCCTGGGACCTGAGAGGACTTGGGTCAGGGTTGTTAAGAAGGCCTCACCCTGTTAGGTACCCCTGGGGTACTAATCTTGTAAAATCACTGTGCCCATAGTTCATGGCAGCATTGCCTTAGGGCCCAACCTCCACCCTGGGGAGAAACTGAGACCCCAAACGAGTGATGTGCCTGTTGGCTCTGTCTCTGCCCCCAAATCCGTGTTCCATTCTGGCAGCATCTGTACCCTACAACAGCAGTGGGGGCCGCTGCCCTGCTGCCCTCCCAGCCCCTACACAGCTATTCCTACTCTGAAAGTGGGCTCGCTTATGGGGCTCGAAGGGCTCCTTGTTAGGCCTAGAGAGGGATTTTGGTCAGGCGACATGGAAGCACATGGAGGAGCTGAGCACTATAGTGTCCTCTGAGGTGAGAACAGAAACAGCTGCCCATGGAAAGACGCGTGGTCTCACACCCGCGGCTCTGAGTTGCTTACTGTCATCACTTTACAGAGAAACTGAGGCACTGAGAGGGGTCCCAGCTTCCCCTTTTCAAGTCTGGACTCCTCCAAGATGGGCTGGGAGGTTGGCAAAGAGGCCTATGAGGTGCTGAGTGGGGTGATGATTGAAACAGAGGGGTTGTCTGGTTAGGCCCCCAAGAGGGACTCGTAGGAAACTCAGACATAGGAGCCCTGGTATTAGGGTTCTAGACCAGGCTCTCCCGCCGGGGCTGGATCTTTATGGTGCCTAGCTCCCCAGCTGCAGGTGGAGGAGAGCAAACCTGCCAGGGTTTCTGTTAGCAGAGGGGGCAGCACCGAGCTCTGGGCTAGCTGCCTGTTGCCGAGGGTCCACAGGGGACCTCTTCCCCTCCAGTCTACTCCAGGGCCCAGCCCAGGCCAGAGCCTAACCCTCCCCATGAACCTGAGCCAACACTAGCAAACCAGGCTGCATGAGGACAGGGGTAGAATAGGAATACAGGGAAGTGAGCGCACGCACGCGCGCGCGCGCACACACACACACACACACACCTCTGAGGAGCAGCAGGCCAGGGAGCTGCCACCCCAAGCAGACTGGCATTCTACTGTTTACCTGTTCCATCTGCTGCCTCGGCCCTAGATGGTGCCCTGTGACACCCTCAGGCACTGTTACAGATGCTTTTGGTCTCCTTTCCCAGCCCCACTTGTCACCAGCCCCCAAGGGTGGGTTCCTCATGAGATGAGAGCCAGCTCCTCAGCTCGGCCTGGGAACTCCCTCAGATTCTGCCCAGCAGAGCCTTGACTGCAGTGCATACCCTGTATCCCCAGAGGGCCCTCCTGAGGAATCTGTGCCTCTACCTGCCCTCAGGGGCCTGCTCTGCCTGTGACTTTGCACCTGTCCCCTGCTGTGCCAGTTGGAGTTCCAGCCCGGCAGGGTGGTGGAAGACAGGCCATGTGATGGGCTGCCCAGTCTCGGGCTGGCCTTTCTCCCACACTCCCTTCCGATTCCTACACCCAGCACTGTCATCAGTCTCTCTGGGAATCTCACAGCCCCTTGGTGACTGAGGTGCCCACTCTACTGCCACAGCCATTTCCCCTTGAGTTGGTGACATTTTGTGGTAGGGGTGTGTCTCACACAGCTGAGTCACATATCGAGGTTCACCTAGCTCAGGCTGGAGTTGGTCCATCCACGTGAAATGTGTAGAAATGCCTTAAACTTGGGATCCCAGGAGCCGGGGAGACTGCTCAGTAAAATAAGCACTTCCCTGGCAAGCAAAAGGGCCTGAATTCAATTCCCAGATCCACAGAAGAAAAAAAAAATCTGGGGATCCCAACCTTTCAGGACCACTAGGTGGAGCCAGATGGGCCACAGAATCTGCCTTCTGCCCATGGACTTCTCCAGCAAACCCTCCCACTCACTACAGATAAGACGTCTTGAACGTTGGCAAAAGCAAAAGAGGAACCTGTGCCTGCTCAGCAAAGATGGGGCAGGGTTCCCAATATGGACACACTCAGGGCACTTAGCTCCTTCTCCACTACAAGAGGGTATGGGAAGGCAGAAGGTTGGACATTCTTGAGCCCTGCCCACAGGGAACACAGCTACCCCCATATCCTGGGCCACCCCAGTGCAGAGGGCTGGGCTCACTGGTCCTAATCTGGAGGACGTGCTTGCAGCTGACGGTTCAGCTCTGGGTCTGGGGATGTGATGCTGCCTCTGGGCCCTTCCTCTTCAAGGGGCTTTTCCCTCTGCCCACCTACGGTGGACCAGCCACAGAAGGCAGAGGCTTAGCACAGCCATCGGGGCACTAGTGTCAGCCTTGGCCTGTCTCCTGTCCTCATAGCCCAGAGCTCTGAGACGTTGGGGACAAAACCTCATAGTGTCTCGAGATGGAGAGAGTGAGGGCACATACTGCACAGTTGTGTGCTTGGACCCCAGCCCCACACTAGTGTGCACACAGTCAGAATACTGGGGCAAAGCAGGCAGTGGGGCCAGTCACCCCCGAGGGTCAATCTGCCACCTCCCTGGGCCAGCATTTGAGCTGAGCTTTGTAGGCGGGGGGAGGGGTGCAGGATCACTGGGAGAGGGCACTCTGCTGAAAGGCTTGCATGGACGAAGGCTGGACATGCCTGGCTGGTTCACTCTAGAGGCAGGAATAGAAGGAAGTGTCAGCTCAGAAGGCCTGGTCAGAGGGCCAGCAAGCAAGGAGCCACAGGCTTCCACATCTTGTCAGCTGTGTCAAGACTGGGGTAGGAGGCGGCAGGAGGAGTTAGCTGCCAGAGGACTCTGGTAGGAGAGACCTGAGCGGGAAAGGCTGCAGGGCCGGGCAGCGGGTGCAGGAGGCTGGGCAAGATCCCACACTGCTCTTTTCTCACTGCCTCTGTGATACATTTCGTCCTCTCTGCTGACCATGCACATGCACACCCTAACCAGGGCCTGACATGGCTTTGCCGCACCCCTCTGTGCCCAAGGCCCGGCCTAGGGCCTGGGATGTGGTAGACACCGACAGCTGAACAGCCAAATGATGATTCACACTGCCGTGCCTGCAGTTATTGTCACAACAGTGACTGATGGTGCCCACACAGTCTCAAGTTTGGAGACAAGGAGCTACGGCCCAAAAGCCCAGGGCACGTCCCCGAGTCCCTGGGCAAGATCCAGGCCTGGGCTGCACAGTGGAGGCCTCTGTGCCGAGATGTGCCCGGGATGTCTCTGGCCCGGGAGGGGAAGAACGCACTCCTCCCACCCCCGTGGCCCATTTCTGTCAGATGTTGGGTTTCTCCAGACCCTGAGCATGTGGCAGGAGCTGAACTGGAGCTCCTGGAATGCTAGGCAGGACAGGGACCCTGAAGGGCTCCTCCAGGGGGCTGCTCGGGAGTGGGTGGGCATTCAGGCTGAGCACACCCCTCACCAGCCTGTCCTGCAGTTCGAGGGCTGCAGCAAAGCCTTCTCGAGGCTGGAGAACCTGAAGATCCACCTGAGGAGCCACACAGGTGAGAAGCCGTACCTGTGCCAGCACCCAGGCTGCCAGAAGGCCTTCAGCAACTCCAGCGACCGTGCGAAGCACCAGCGCACGCACCTGGACACGGTAGGCTGAGGGCGGGGTGGGGCAGTGAGGCACTCATGCCCCAGCTGTGCAGAACCACGGTTGGCCTTAGGCCCTGTTGACAGCTGGGGCAGGGGATTATAGCACGGGCTGGGCATGTACTGCATAGTACAGGACAAGTGACAGATACCTGCCTTCCTCTACTGGATACGGGAGCAGAGACAGGAGCCTCCCCATCTTCCAGCTGTGACAAAAGTATCTCTGGGCACTGCCTGATTTCCCAGGTCAGGGAGTGCAGCTCAGCAGGGCTCTGGGCTTTGGCCCTCTGGTTGTGCAGGGGTCCCACAGCAGACTCCAGCATCCTTGTCCCTCCACCCCCGCATCCTTTCCTGGGGCCTGTCTGCCCACCCCTTCTTGGGAACAGACCAGGACATCTTTGCCCCTCATGGACTGCACTGAATTGAGGCAGGCAGCTCATAAGATGCCGGCTTCCTGCTACAATGACCTGGGCTCCAGACGCCTGCACCTCCTTCCACTTCCTTCCCTTACATGTGCCAGACTGTGGCTCACCACAGCTCTGTCCCATAGCTGGTCCACGCCTTGCCTGATGTGCATAGAGACCTTATTGGTGACAGGACTTCTGGAACATCATTCCCATACCGGCCCTGCCACTGAGGGCCCTCACCAGTTTGACAGAGGAGAGTAACAGGCACTGGTCAGGGTCTGCTTGTGGCCACGTACCTGGACAGTGGCGCAGCAGACTCAGACCCGGCCTCAGCCCAGCCACATAGGCCTTGGGGGTGGAACAGTGTGCCCTGGGAGGACCCAGCCTTTGCAGTAAGAAATGAGTGTGCAGGCCGAACCACGTCCAGGCCTCACATCCAGGCCCCAGGCCTGCTGCTCTGCTCCTTCTGCACATGTGTGGGACTGGGAGGGCTGAGTGGCTGTCCAGTCTAGCTTGTCCCTTACATAGATGGGGACACAAGCCCAAAAAGGCCACTGGCCATCCAGGCTAAGCTGCAAGCTGTGAAGCAGCAGAGATCAGACCTGGAGAGACCTTTGTAGGCCTTTCTGGTCAAAGTTCTTTATTTTATAGCTGGGAAACAGACACAGAAATGGCAGGGCTGGGGGTTGGTGCTTGGAAAAGGGCAAAGAACTAGTGGAGCCAGACCACGCCCCGGGCTGGACCTGCCATGACCCCGTTCACCCCTACAGTATCAAATGATCATCATCTCAAGTTTTGTCCTGGTGACAGCCCAAGGTGTAGGGGCCTTTATCTCCATTTTATAAATCCAGAAACGAGCTCAGGAAGACTTGAATCATTTGCCTGTTGCTAGGCAGCAGTGCTGGGCTGCACACCTGGAGCTGTCTGACTCTCCCAAGTTTGGGGCCCTGCTCCCCAAACTCCACTCCCCTCCATTGCAGCCTTCACCGTCAGAAGCTCCAGGGAGATGCAGAGTGAATGGTGCTTCTGTTAAATGTCCCACCCTGTCACCTCCTCAGCCCTAGCCAGGGCGGAACCCTAGTTGTATCTCTTGGAGGGCACACAGCCTCTGGCCCGCTCCCCGCCTGATGGGACCTGTGCTGGATGCAGCTCCAAGGCTAGAGCGAGGCAGGCCCAGGATGAGCCCATCTCTGCCTAGGCCTTCATCTCCCTAGGTACCCGGGAAGGCATAGCCAGCAACTCCAGCACCCAGCCCTGTGGGTCGGCATTGTCCCCAACTCCCCGACATCAGAACAGGTGCTTTGCACAAGGTGGAAGGTGTCCCTGGACACACTGGTTCTAATGCTGAATCTGCCACCTGGTCCCAAGATCAGGGAAAAGCCACCTCACTCCCTGGGCCTCAGTTTCCTCAGAGTAAGACAGCTGTGTCTCGAGAAGAAGGGCAGCTCTTATACTCTCAGCAGTCTTCCTGTCCTGTCCCAGGTGTCCAGCGTAGGGCCGCATCCTGGCAGCCACAGGGCCCTCCAGAAACTTGAATAACCCCCACCCCCCTCGCTGTGGGCCTCAGGTTGCCACCAGTAAGAGGGTGGGTGATACTCTTCAGTGTCCCCTTCACTATTTCAAGGCGGCATCCTAGCAGGCTTGGTTGTTCTGGCTCTGAGGCTGGAGGCAACTGTGGGCCTTGGTTCCATCTGCTCAGAGTGAGATGAGTCTCCAGGGGTGGGCATGGGACCCAGAGGACATTGTGGGCAGCCGGTGCTTACTCAGCACGGTACCTGTGCCCACAAGCACCCTGGGAGAGAGCTATTCCTGGAGCACATGGCTGGGCTGCCCCTGCTTGGCTTAGGAGCAGTGTGGTGACTCCGTGGGCCTGGGGTTTGGCTGTTGGCTTAGGACAGCCACAGGGTTTCCTGAGGGCTCTCGGGGGAGTTAGGCTTGAGGAATGTTCCATACACATCAAGCTCTGGAAAAACAAACACGGAGAGGAGCCTCGCTGCCCTGTTGCCAGGGGACGGCGCCTGCTACATAGAGCTGTTTGTTTGCTTTTTGACAAAAGCGTGTGGATTAGTATCAGCAGCCCTAGGGGACAGGGCCTGGGCCAGCTCAGGGACAGGGCAGGGCCCATGGGGAAGAGGGAGCGTGTGTTGGGGGTTAGGACCCATGGGAAAGAGGGACCGCGTAGAAGAGGGTATGGATGTATGTCGGTGAGGTATATGTGAGACTGGTGGCAGGTGGAGACAAGCCTCCCCTCCTGCCCTGCCACCTTCTGTTGCCCTAGCCAAGCTTCTCACTGCTGTCTCTCTCTTTTTGCTTTCCTCCGTTCTTTAACCTGGCAACCTTCCTGGGCAGCTCCAAGGTACGATCGTCTCTCTCCACTTTCCTTCCCCTCAGATCCCCGGGCCATGAGCGCCTTTCCCTGTCTACCCTCTGCCTGGCAGGGGCAGAGTTGCCTGCCATTTGGGGACAGCTGCATGTGGCGTGTCTGATGGGACACGGCCATCCCAGAGACGTACTCTGAAAAGAACTGTCTCCTGCACATGTCTCAGGTCCCCATCCCCAGCAGTTCCAGAAGGCAGAAAGTGCCAGTGTCAGAACCACTTTATGTGTTCACAAAGAGAAGCCCCATGAATGCTGAGCCTGGTTGGCAGCCTCAGTCCCCAAGCCGGGTCTAACAGGAAGCCCTGGAGGTCAGAATGCAGCCAGGGTCCTGAGTGCCCTGAAACATTGGATGAATCGGCTGCTTCCTCCCTGGTAGGAAGGACCCTGAGCAGACCCAGCAGCAGTGAGCTTGGCTTATGCAGGGGGCAGGATCGCAGGAGAAAGGAGGTGACACAGCTGGGTGGAGATGTCGGGAGGACTGTGGGGGACAGGGATTGTAGACTTGCAGGGCCTGTCTCCAGGGGCCATCAGTGCCAGACAGGGCACTGGTCCCAGGAACTAAGTCCCAGGAACCGGGAAAGGAGGATGTTAAAGAAGACCTGAACCCGGCCAGCTATGTGAACAGGTCCTCTTGGGGTGCAGGTGGAGCCTGGGGCAGGAGTCCACGTGGTGAGGATGGTCTGGGATCCCACTTCCCTTCTAGATGAGCAGTGAGGCAGTGGGGAGAGAGCAGCCCACTCCCCATGCAAAGGGCACAGGCTGACCCTGCCCAGCTCTCCACAGCCAGTTCCTTTCCAGCTGCCTGTACTTGTTGCCTGTGCCACCTGGATGTCCCTACCAGGGGTGGCCAGCAGCTGCGCTGGGCCTGTGCACACATCCCAGCCCTGCACTGTCCCTTTTCTTCCCTGCACCTCCTGCTGTCCAGGGTACCCTCTCATGGGACCCCCTTGTGTGCAGCTGCTTCCTTGCAGCCATGTGGTACAAAGGGTGCACTCTCCCTGCACTGGCAGCTCAGCTGATCCACCCATAGCGCGGGTCAGGGGACAGTGAGCCTGGCTCCCGGGCCAGGTGCCACCCCTCCCTACTCCAGCAGGTTGCACAGGCAGCGACACCTGGGAGGTGGCCCTCGCTCACTGGCCTCCGTTCCCCTCTGGTGTTCCAGAAGCCGTATGCTTGCCAGATCCCTGGCTGCTCCAAGCGCTACACGGACCCCAGCTCCCTCCGCAAGCACGTGAAGGCCCACTCAGCCAAAGAGCAGCAGGTGCGCACGAAGGTAAGCAGCCTCCTAGGCACAGGCCAGGCCCACGCTCCCTCCCTGCGTGCCCCTGGGCCCACAACAGCAAATACTGCCATTCACCATTCAGCTGCCTGCCTCCCAGTCCCTGAGGAGCTGCTGCCCCAGCCCTGCCCTCCTCACCCCCACTGGGCAGGTACACTGTGGAATGACTGCCCCTAGCACCTCTCCCTCTCCTGACCCCCTTGCCATGGCTCAGAGTGGACACTGTTGCCCAGCCCCATGTGGGGCACTGAGGGTGCTAAACTGAGGACACAGTGCCCACCTCTCGACAGAGGCAGACATCTAACGGGTGGCAGTGGGGGTGTGCTGGCCAGGAGCACAGATAAAGGGGCTTTTGCCTTTCTTGTGAAAGAAGTGGTCCCAGGGGCCCCAGAGGGCAGTGGCTGGGGGCATGAGCTCAGCCACCTGTGAGGCTCGGTGACCCTGGAGCAGGTCATTTGGCCTCTGTGCTTCATGCTCCTCAGCTGCGGGCTTGGAGGGTAGCAAAAGGCTTGCTTTCCTGGGTGAGTTAGCACACACGGAGGACCTAGAGTTCCTGTAGCTGGAGGATTTCTGGTCTCAGAATGGAAGCGGGTTATGTGTCCGTCTAACCGCAGCAAGCACCCTGGGCAGGTGAGTTCCACAAAGAGGAGCGTACCTGGAGCTGTCGGCTGCGAGCAGTGTGGAGACATGCCCCTGTCACTTGCTCAGCAGCCTCAAAGTGAGGACCGACAGTGCCATCTAGGCAAGCCACGTAGCAGAGGAGGTTCCTCCAGACCATGAAGGGATAGGGTGGGTGGCTTGTGCCAGGGACCAGCCCAGGGCGTGGTGGGCGTGGCAGCAGAGGGGCTGGCTGGTCAAGGTGATAGCAGAAGCTCACGGCACACTTGAGGGCACCTCTGCCAGTGTGGAGCACCCAGGGAGGCAGATTTAGGGGAGAAGGTGAGCAGTGTGTTCCGCTTTGGAGCAGAACTGTGTGAGCGGAGGGTGCTAGGCCATGCAGGAGAGATGGGGCAGTGGCATGGGGCTGAGGCTCCGGCAGGAAGCATGGGGGGGGAGGGGGGCTGTGGGCCAGGGAGGTGTTGATGTAAAGAGAGGTGCAGGGACTGGTGAAGACCAGTGAAGAGCCTGCTACCTTGCTCAGCCTGCTGGATGGGGCCATGCAGTGTCACCAGCCCAGCAAACATGAAGGCCTGTGGGAATGAGGGCAGACAACTGAATCTCAGGGTGGGGACACAGGCCTGAGGTGCTGGGAGCAAGCTGACTTTAGGAGGATCAGGTCTCCATCCCACAGCATGGGGGTGGTAGTGCTAGAAGTGCCAGGGGTGAGGAGGGAGGGGGCCAGAGCACACGTGGTGAGCTGGTAAAAATTCCACCTCTATATTCACCCCAGGAAGAGCTCAACGTTTCCCCAGATGCTCCAAGACTCAGACTCAGGAACTGGGTCGGTGCTTCCCACACTGTCTGTTGTAGTCCTCCCTGTGACCCTAGGTCTGGGGCCTATTTTTATTCCCATTTTAGAGAAACTGAGGCCCTTAATAGCAAACCACTCAAGTTGTGCAGCCCAGGAGTGACAGAACAAGAGTCCCACACAGACCCATCTGTCTGTTGGCTGAGTCCCTCACATTCCTCTCAGGGGAGCAGCTCATCGGGGACAAGGAACAACCCAGGCTTCAGTAGGCCAGTCTCCACACAAAGGAGACATCTGTCCTGAGCCCAGCAGTGCCGAAGACCTGGTTCCTGCCCTGGGTTTCCCAGGCCCCAGGCCTATCTCCTGCGGAGCTCTGGGGACTTAGGCTACAGAGCCTTAGGCTTCCCACCCACCAGTGTGCGTCCACTAAGGGCCATCAGAACGATGCTCTTCTCCGGATAAAGTGACCCTTACAGTGTGACATGTTCTTGGCAGCCCTGCTGTGCTTCAGAATTAGAAATGCTTTTCTTCCTCAATTCTCCTCTCCTGCTGTTCTAATTGCATCGACATTGCGGTCTCCAAGAGCATGCCTCGGCCCCTTCTGCCAGAAACTTCATTTACATGGGAAACAGCTGCAGGCTTGGGGTGCTGGGAGCCTGACTCAAGCCTGCATGCCTTCCACAGCCTGGTCCTGGCCCTTGGACCCAGGGATGGAGGAAGCTGTGGAGCTCACCTCCAGCTACCCAGGCCTGTTTTGTCCTGGATACAGTGAGCATTTCGAGGGGACAGGTGTGGGTCCGCCAGCTGTGGGACTCCCCTCCCCATCCTACCCTCTGGCAGGTGCCTGGCCCTGGGCCCCCTCATCCTCCAGTGTCCTGCCCTTGTCTGGAGAGGTGAAGATGTTCCCAGGTGTCCATTCTTGGAGGTGGCCAGGGGTGTTGGCCCAAGCTTGGCATGGGTGATGGCACCTCTGGCCCTGGCATACCTAGGCAGCTGACCTCAGCCCACTTTGCAACCCAGGGTGCCAGCTGCCATGTGACCAGTAGAGTGCAGGTGGTGGGAGCCAGGCTGCAAATTACAGCAGGGCAGGGAAAGCCAGAGCGGATAGGTGGTCTGCCCAGTGTCCCTCGGGACAAAGAGGTGAGCTGGGCCTCAAACCCAGCCACTCTGTCTGCAGCCCTGGACTCTTTCTGATGCCTCTAATACCCAGAAAGAAGAGCCCTGGGGTCAGGACAGATACCATGCGTCAGCGTGTACCCCAGACACCTCCGACAACCTTGGGGAGACCTCATGTCTACACGTGGCCATCTGGCTCAGCTTAGTGCAGAGCCACACCTCCCTCTGCCTGTGCCCTGCAGTCTTGGGGCTCACTGACCCCTCTGAGAGATGTGAGCTTGACACCCACATAGGAAGGCCCCCCTTGTCTTTTCCCTGCTTCCCTCAGAGGCAGAGGGTGGCCCCCTCTTCTGCCACCCCTGCTTTCCCACATATGGACACTTAGTAAATTTCTTAACTGTCGGATTCCATCTTGGCCTCTGCTGCACAGAGGACCCGTGCTAATGTGATCTCCATGTACACCATTAGCCCATTTTACTGATGAGGAAACTGAGGTGCAGCGAGAGGGTCCTGCCCTGACCCATAAAATGAGGGGCTTTACGGCAGGTGGCCTTTTGCTGACCCCCTTCCCTCTGCTTGCTCCCCAGTTGCGTGCCAGCCCTGACACAGAGGCCGATGTCCTCAAGGAGTGTCTGGCCCTGCAGCAGATCCATGCTTCTGCACAGCTGGCTGCTGGTGATGGGAAGGGCGGATGCCTGGGCCAGGAGCTGCTCCCAGGTATGTGTGTGTCCTGGGGAGGACAGTGACCCTTCCATGCTTGCAGGCCACCCTCTCCGTTGGCCTTTGTTGTCCCTCTTCCTGTCTGGCTTTGATCCATCTTCTCTCTGAGCTCAGCTAATGGTGGATTGAATGCCCATGCCTCTATGGCTCTGTGTTGCCTGAGGGAAGCCCCAGCTCTTCTCAGCCTGAGGTCTGGGCCTCCAGCAGCCTCTTGCCCAAACCCACACACTGTTTCTTGCATACTTCTGTGCTCTGGCTCCCAGGGCCCTGCCTCCCCAGCCTGTCCTGCCTGCACCAGAGTGGTCCTGCCCTGTCTCCCACCCCCACCTCCAAGAAGTCCCTCTAGGCTGCCTGCAGCCCCAGTGCTGAACACTCTGGGCTCTCTGCCATCTGTGTCCCCCACCAGACTCTGCCTGAGCTCCTCGAGGGCCACCTCCTTACAAAGTCACCCACACCCGACATGAGAGCTGTACAGAGCCAGGTCAAGGAATTTGCAGGCTGCCCCAGGTGCTGGGAAGGGGAATGTACCCCAGGGTACCTTCAGGCTCCTCCTCTGCCTGCCTGCCTGCTGGGTGCTTGCAGCGTCGAGCTGCCTTCAACAAGTGTCCAGCACCTGGGCTCCACTTAGGTCCTGTGTCAGCCTCAGCACAAGTCCTGCACCCTGGCTGAACCCCCTTCAAACATGTCACTAAAGTTTGTGGGTGGCCCAGAAACGGGCTTTCTGACCCAGGACATGTAGCCCCATCCAGCCCAATTCCAAGCCTGTGTTCCTGCTGAGGCGAGGCCACCTGTCTGGCCCTCCCACAGCCACACATGGGCCATCCAGGTCCTGGGCATGGCTGGAATGCCTGGGCTCGCTGCCTGGATACAACCCAGAGAAGGGTAGCTTGGCTCACAGATTCCACTACCCACCCGAAGAAAATTAGAAATCTCTATCTTCTGAACTTCTTAATATTTTTTAGTTTTTTAATTTAAAAAAAAAATATTTACTGTTACAGGGTCTTACTATACAGTTCAGACTTGTAGTGATCTTCCTGTCTCAGCCTCCCCAGTGCTGGGATTACAGGTGTACACCGACATGCCCAGTTTCGGAGCCAGCACTTCGTGCCTCAGATTCTAGGGTTGGCACAGCATGCGGTACCAGGGATCGAACCTGGGGCTTTGTGCTGGCAGGCAGGTGCTTAGACCACTGAGCTATTTCCCCAGCCCTCCAACTATTTAAAACATCTCTTATTTTCTAATTTTATTCTTCCTCCCTCAACACTGAAATAGCAAGAGATTTAAAATCCTTTCAAAGCCTTTGCTGAGCTTGAGAAGAGCAGGCTTTAACCCTTTTTTCATTTCACCAAGAAAGCATACCCCAGGGGTAGATACCATGGAGGATGGACCCTACTGCCCCCAGCTAGGGGCCCCTTGGCCAGAGGGTGCTACTCATAAGGTCAGAATTCCAAAAGGCCAGGGCTGGGACCAGGAGGAAGAGCCAGCCAGGGGTGAGGGCCTTGCAGTGCCAGGTCTTAACTGCTCTCTGCCCCTAGCAGAGGACTACCAGGCGACTCAACTCCAGGGAAAAGTGGGCTGCCCTGGGGCTGGGGCCCCACTGCCCAGCATCCAGGCCTTGGGAGGCGTGACATTGGACAAGGGGAGGACCAACCCAAATTCATGCAGGGTAGTCACTGGCAGGGCTGGGTTAGAAGGCTATTTTTCTCCCAGGTGCAGCCCAGGTTTGGCCCAGGGGTTGGGCAGGGTCAGCAGTCACCTAGGCTGGTTCCCTAACCTACCTGTTGCATTCACCCTGCAAGACCTGCTGCAGGTGAGAGACCAAGTCCCCTGGGACAGCATCACAGGGGAGGGTCCTGCTGTGAGCCTCCATTTCCCTCCCAAACTTGCTTCTTCCCAGTAGTTGTCTGGGGCCTGCACCCTAGAAGAGTTAGGAAACAGCAGAAGTCAGCCCTGAACCCAGGCCACTTGCTGCAGGCTATGTTCCTCACTGAGTAGTCTGTTGCTCACTACTGCCACCTCCTGCCTCGTGGGTCCCTGTGGCCACTTCCATAGTAGCAGGGAGGGAAGGACCAGCTAGGCAAAGCCAGGGCTCCTGAGCTCCCGGGCATGGGCACACAAGTCCCGCCGCAGGCCACTTGGCAGACCGCTGAGGCACAGTTGGGAACAGATGTTAGGGCCAGAGGCTGAGTGCTCACGGCTGATGATTGATGATGCTACTTTGCAGTCTGGAGTGGTGTGTTTTGGTGGGGCACCAGGCAGGCCTGGGGTCCCCACTCCTCTGGCCCCTCGCTGTCCAGTGACTCATCCCGCTCACTGTCAATGCACGTGCTTAGCCTCTGTAATCCCACTGGTCACTGTCCTGCATCCACCCACCGCTGTGTAGACAGGGACATGGGCCAGGGAAGAGGTGAAGGCAGGGGACAGGGTCCAGGGAACTTAGGGCAGAAGCCTCCAGAGCAGAAGGATGAAGGCAAGAGAGGACTGCAGAGGTGTCGTTCACTGTCCCTGTCTGTGCACTATGGGAGGCTCCCACAAGCTCATTCCTCCGTCTCGAGAGGCCTGGCCCCGGCAGACCCAGGAAACTGGACCGGAAGCGGGGGCACGCTGCAGCATGGCAGCAGGAGAGGGGGCGGGATTTGCCAGGCTCCAGGCCAGCCTGTTCACAGTGGCAGGTGAGGGGTGCTGCAGAGAGTGGAGTGGCACAGACTGAGCACCGTGGGCCCTGCTCCCTCCAGGTGTCCCCAGGCCAAGCTGGGGAGCAGCAGGGGTAGTAGCCACTCAGAGGTCCCAGGTAAGGAGGGTTGGTGGGAATGGACAGGGACACACCCAGAGCCCACCCACTGCAGCCTGGACAAGAGCGAATCCTCGGGTGGGAGGTGCTGGCCACAGCTGCTCTGGAGCCCACCGTGGCTCCCCGCGTGGACCTATGTCCATCCCCCAGCACACCAGCCTGTGGCTGCCTGTGCGTGCCTTGGGCAAGGCATTCCTCAGTTTCTGCATCTTAAAGCAAGACCTTATCTTCCCCAGCAACAAGGATGAAGAAGTTAGACTCTGCGCTTGGCACCTGTGTGGTAACTAGCGCTGCTGTTGCCTTGGAGTGGGCCGTGCCCCTGGGAGGCAGCCATAGGGTCCATCTTTCCCGTGGCCTTGGTTGGTGGCGTCTCTTCATAAAGGCCAGGAAGTGCATTCTCCTCCTTAGCCACAGTCCCTCACGCCCCGTCACTGATCCCTGTAGTACTCTCCTATGCTGTCCGCCCTCCTGCCCCAGAAAGAGCTAAGCTTGCGGCAGCCACCCACCCCTGGCTCCAGGATTGCAGGCCTGGAGATGAATCTTATCTCACACCATCCGGAAAGGGCCCTGCAGTGTCGGCTTTTGCATGGTCCTCTAGGGGCAGTAACCCTTAAGGACCAGCTGATGCTCAGCGGGCCACCAAGGGATTTCCTGGCCCGTCAGAGGGGCCACTGTGCCAGCACAGCATCAAGTGACCGGGGTCACCTGGGCATCAACTTGACCCAATGATTTTAGGAAAACAGTGTCAGGTTCAATGCTAACAAGTGCAGCTAGGGCCGGGAAGATAGCTCAGTACAATAAGTGCCTGCCTGGCAAGTGCAAGGTCCTGAGTTCAATCCCCAGTACCACAAAAAAAAAAAAAAAAGTGCAGCTGGAGGAAGATGGAAGAATTAGAAACTCGTGACACTATGTGAGCCTCTCTCAGAGCAAGCATTCCCTCTTTTTTCTAACGGGGTCCTTTGTGAAAGCATCTCAGAATACTGACATCAGTAGTTCTCAAACCCTCAGGCCTCGGGACACCCTCTGTTTTGTTAGCCCACCTGCCTTAACAAGGGGTAGAGGTGATGGAAGGTGACATCAACCTCCAAGTGTCTTCTGGGTTGGATCTAAGACTAGACAGCTCTCTCTTACATGGGGTCCTTTGTGCAGTGTACAGCCTGTACAACCATCCATGGCAGCCCTTTGCAGAGGTCTCCCAGCTCAGCCTGCTCAGGCCAGCTAGTGTAATCATCCTGTCTCTGGAACCTGTCAGTGGCTACCTAGGCTCTCCTTGCTCACCTCTGAAGATGGATCATTCCTTACATCCAAAGGCAGCCCACTGTCTGGTAGCCACATTAGAAGGTTTTGCTGAGCGCCAAGCTGATTCTGCTTCTTTCAAGCTTCTCTGTGTTCTTGGGCTTCCGTCTGCTTGTGGGGATATTCTGAACAGTCCTCCACAGTTCCAGAACAGCCTTATTGAGGTTTGGGGCTGCCTGCTCTGCGCAAGCCCCTGTCGCACCACGCAGTCCTTCTCTGTCCCCATAGTGGCCCTGCCCTGGACCCAGCTCTTGAGCCAGAATGGGACCAGCACCTCCCTGGTTTGAGTCCCTAACCTCTCAACACAGCCTTTGTCTTCCAACATAGTCACTTTCCTTCTTGTCGTTTTCTCCTGATAAGTTGGAACGTACGTCTCTGATCTGTGCACAGCCACCCCAAGGCAGTGGCCAGAGCCCGTTGACCTCATGTGTCCCCACAGGTGTGCACCCCAGCTCCAGCACCCCTCTCAATGGGCTTGCCTCCAGCCTCCTGCTCCCCACCCATGACGTCCCTTCCAGGCACCACCCGCTGGAGACCGCCGCCAGTGCTCAGCATCACCTGTCCCCTCTGCCAACGGCCGACAGCACCAGGGACGGGTATGTACCCTGAGCCCGTCCTGGGGGCACAGGAGTTGTGGGTGTGAGAAGTGGATGAGGGCAGGTGGCCTGTGCTCTTGGGTCCTCCTGATACTGAAGGTCGCCCACCTTGAGGGAGTGCTGGGCATCCCCAGCAGCCCTGCGCTCTGTCTCTCTGTGTGTGATGGCACCTGTGAGCAACCCAGCAAGGTAAGTAACGTAGACACCTGGAGCCTCCTGCTGGGCACCCCTGCTGCCAGGACTCCACATTTATTGTGCTTACCCTGCCTCTTCTGGAGACACCCTGCGATGGCTGCTAGGCTGGCTGGGCTCTAGCCTTG